TGATCTAACGGTTACAAATCTCGATGGAATGGTTCCATAACGGGACCGTAGCATCTTCCTAAGAATGGATCCATTCAGCTTGTCTGGATAAGATCAATCCCTAGCTGTTATTTTTAAGTTATTATAATATGTCGAAATCATCATGGAAATTATTATGTTGGTAGGTTCAAATGAACTTAATTATCACATCACATATAGTTATTTGATATATTATTTTGAGAAATCCCCTCTGAATCCAAATTCAAACTCAGCTCATTTGTTTGTCTGTAGAGTAAAGATTGCATTTTTATTTCAGGGCAAACAAGGTTTATTATTTTCGATATTATTTGTATATATATGTGTTTGTTTCAAATTATTGATTCTCAATGCTGATGAAACTCCCACTTTTGCTTCAAATTTTTCGTATTGATGACATGTAGGCCCAAGAATCGGGCGAAATAATAGCCGAAGGATCATCAAGCAAGAAAGTTCGGAATCAAGATGTGATTTTGAATATAACACCCATCGATCCAATAGTCGAGGGACCCCCCACGGATGATAACGTTATCATGATAAACACCCCCAAGAGAGTAAATTTTTCTCCACTGCCCAGCCCAAACCGGATAAGAATCAGCGGTTCTCCGGGCCCTTCCACTTCCCGAGGAATATCAGCCGTGAAGCATTTGATTCCTAAACTGAGTTTCAAATTCCGTAACACAAATGCTGAGATTGAAAAGGCTGCCATGCTGGCACTCGGGGTTTCCCCCGAAGCACAAGGGAAGAGTTCAGTTGTTAGGACATTTTCACTCTCAAAGATTTTCGCGCCAAAAATGAAAAGGACATCTTCTTTGCCTGCTACGCCAATTTTGCACTCGAATCCCGAGTCGGCTCATGGAGGGATTATTTCGAGCACTTCATCTGTGAGTAGCTTTTTTCGCTTTTCGAGTTTGGTTGATTCTTGTTGGTTTATTATTTGTTCTCTGATAAGTAAGTCACGATTTTAGGTCTTGTTGCATTCACACTCTCTTCTTTGTATGCATCCAAAACTTTCACTTCATGTGTCATTGCATCGCGGGTGTCTGTATAAACTTTATTTAAAAATAGAAAAGAAAATAAATATAAAGGGGCATAAGTTTATTGTAGCATAAATGAGAAGTTATTGAGAATCAGCAGTGCGAGCAAGCTAAATGTTGAGAGAATTTCTATTGCGAATGTTTTCAAGTGTCTACAATTCCCTTTGTTCCACCATTCCAGTTGGCAACTTAGGCAATATCTAAAAATCTAGTGAAGTAACCTTAGCTGATTATTTTGCTGGCCTCATGTAGCGTTTTGCTGTATTAGAATTTCCTGCACAAGATGAATCGAATCGATGTGTGCCCATAAATTATTTATGGACAATTTATCATGTATGGCATACAGTTTTAGATAGTAAAAAATGCAGTTGATTTTCATTAGAGTGAATCTTACAGATTTTTTTGTTTCATTATTATGCAGAAAAGTGGGCCAAAGCTATCCATACACCGTTCGCATTCAGTTCCAGAGTTCAATAAAGATGAGAGTGTGAAGCAAGTCGACTATTTAGGCAGTATATACCGCATAATTCCTTCTACTCCTAAATCAACCGACCAAAATATGGCCACATCAATCCCCAATGCAATAACCGATACAGGTAACATCAAGAAAAAAGAGATCTTGAAATTTGAATGAATATCGTGAAAAAAAATATATATATTTAGAGATTTTTAACATACAGTGTATCTAATTACTCAATTGTTGTGTCCAGATGAGAACAATAATTTTTCGGAAGATATACCTCAAGAGGAAGCTGTTTGTAGAATTTGTTTAGTCGAGCTGAGTGAGGGCTCGGATACTCTAAAAATGGAATGCAGCTGTAAAGGTGAACTTGCACTGGCCCATCAAGAGTGTGCCGTTAAGTGGTTCAGCATAAAAGGGAACAAAACTTGCGATGTATGCAAGCAAGAGGTTAAGAATTTGCCTGTCACGCTTTTACGGGTAGTCCAAAATGGCGAAAATCGAGGAAATGTAGTAAATCCGGCCGAAATAGGACGATACAGGTAGATATGTTTACCTTTCTCGAGCCCACTTAGATAAAAGATATATATTGGTGCATGAACAAATAATTTGCAGCATTATAGTAATATTTTTTTTTTGCTAATAGAAGTGTCTATTTGTGTAGGGTTTGGCAAGATGTTCCTATTCTAGTGATCGTTAGCATGCTTGCATATTTTTGCTTTTTGGAGCAACTATTGGTAAGTGGCATGACTAGGGTTGTGTTTGGTAAGATTATAAGCTAGTTTATAGCTTATTTGATTAACTTATAAGCTTCATGTATTCAATTAAGTTTGGTTTGGTAGGACGAGTTGTTTTAAAAAACTCGAGCTTATCTCATAAGCTTCCTTGGGTATCTTTTCAAATATGCCTATTGATTTTTTATTTATTTTTTTTTCCAAACACTTTTATCATATAAGTTAGATTTTTAAGTCATAAGCTATCAACTATAAGCTCAAAATTCACTTAAAAGTTAAAAGCTATAAGCTAGCTTACTATCAGCTAGGTTTACCAAATACAGCCTTAACTTTTTGGAAATTAGCTTCATTTATTGTCAAGAACCATTTATTGTATTTTATATTTTTCCAATTTATAAATTCGGTTTATTAAGTTTTTTTTCGTTGTTGTCGTTTAGGTCTCTAAACTCGGATCAAGTGCAATCGCAATATCTTTGCCCTTTTCATGTATTTTGGGTCTCCTTGCGTCTATGACGTCTACTACTATGGGTAAGCTGTTTTTTTTTTTTACTCATCAAACTCAAAGGCATATGAGTATTGCCTCTTTATTTATTCATTTGTGTTCATTTTCAACTCATTTTGTTGCGTTTTTTTTTTTTTTCGGTAGTAAGGAAGAGATTTGCCTGGGTATATGCTACTATTCAGTTCGTCCTGGTGGTTGTTTTTGCCCATATATTTTACTCACTGGTAAGTTCCCACAACAAAATGTGGTAGTAAGTATATTTGCTCAACCGATCAATGAAAAAAAAAAAGTAAATTTGCTCAACCGATTGTAATTGGCTAACTTACATTAGCATTATCGTTAATTTATCTTTTCGAATTACTGTTATAAACGCACCTTCAGATGTTTATATCCCTAAAAAGACTTTTGTACTAATAAGGCATTTCTATAAGGAGTCCAATAATTTTTACATGGGGAAAAAAATTACGTTTTGAGGCCCGATTTTCTAATATACTAAACTATCAATTTCTATGTACGTATATAGCTTCATGTGCAAGCTGTTCTATCAGTTCTGCTGGCTACTTTTGCTGGTTTTGGGGGTGCTATGTGTGGAACTTCAACGATTTTCGAGATCCTCAAGTGGGTGAGAACACAGAACCTTCCGCCACCTTCCGGAAACGATTCTTCTCGGCCCAACCAAGATTTAGAGGCCGGCAATGTGGGCCCAATGGATACACAGCCCAATGAAAGCGAATCACGGGCCCAAGGTAGTAGAAATGGCAGCTGACAGAAGGCCGGGCTTCAAATGGGAAAACATATTTTACAGTTGTACAAAACTCCGTGGATACTTGAAAAAAAAAAAAAAAAAACTACATATTTCGAGTCGTGTGGCCATTTTTGGTATATATATCGTGTTGGTGTGTGAACAAGCCACCGAATTTGCGATTCAGCATGGCGAAAGAAGCAATAAGCCGAGCTGCGTGGTGTACATTGTTTTGCCTGGTCATTTTTACAGGAAAGATTATGAAGGGTAAATAAAGTTTGTATTTGAATCATTTTAGTAGTTTTGCAGGACATGAGATTTGGTTATAAAACCATGCTAGTACAACACCCGTGTATTACACGGGTGCTTGTTAAAAAATTATTATTAAATTTTAACATTAATGAGAACTATATTAAATTTAGTTTATTTTTTTACAAAAAAAATATATTACTATATATTTTAGAGTGATATGTTTTACTTATGACTTACATGTGTTATATTATATTAGTTTTTTATAACTTATATCATATAACTACTTGAAATATAAATATATTAGTTGATAAATACTTTTATTTTTCTAATTAATATTAAAAAAATATTAGTATTGTTATAAAGATAAATATAAATTAATTTTTTTATACATACAATATGGATGTTAAATCGAAGCTCATCAAAAGAAGATTAATTTGATATATTAATTGCAGATGTAAAACTGATAAAAAATACAAAAGTTATTAACTTATAAAATACATATACAATTCAATAATTATAATAAGGAATGATATTAAAATGCAATTAATGCATGTAACATGACCATAAATAATCAACATATTTAGGATAATCCGAACCTAATTATTTTTTATTTGAAATTAAATTAAAATTTATCCAAGCCTAATAACGAAGCATGTAATTTTGCCATAAAGGATTCCGAAGCACCATAAACAGCCACCTAGGCTCAGCGCATTCTGGATTAATATATAGGAGGGATATATATATTTATATGTTATGCCGTGTTGGAATAAATAAAGCCATAAAGTCACATAACCTGCCACATCATGTTGTGGCATTGTCATACGGCGCCCAAACGGGCGCCATAGTATTTTTGGGCGCGATAGTATTTCTGAATAACAGTCAAGATTTTTCAACAAATACATATTATTTATTAAATAAAGCTGCAATTTAGCAAGTCTTGTTTTACATAATCATACTTTTCAACAGTTGTACATACTTCCAAATTTAAAAATTGAAATATAATAGTAAAAAAATGACATTTCACATCACGAACATTTTTGTTATAAAGGTATAACAAGCTATCAATCGGTGTAAGTTGTACACAAGAATTGTATTAGGAAGACACCAAATACGTATGAATTATTGTTTAAAAAAAGTATGCACTTTCCGCCTAACGGATAGGCCGTCTGACATGAGATTTCTTGTGGTTAATAATAGTGTAACAAATTAGTCAACAAGTGGTGGCACATTGAACATTAGCAATTGTTGGTGCCGCGCAGCGATTGGCATGCTTTTTTCTCAATGGATCTTCGTCGCTGGCTTGTGAATAACCTGTCAGGCCGCTTTCTACAGCAGGTGGAGGATTGGGGAACGACTTTCGGCCTCACGGCTTGGAAGATGTGGCGGTGGCGGAACCTCAAGCTATTTGAAGGGGCGGAATTTTACTTCGAGTGTCGTGTGTGTGAGGTTCGGTCTCTTACGAGGCAAATGGAGCGTGTTCTGATGGGAGGTCGCAAGCTTGGGGCTTGTGGATTACGTGAATCGTGTTGGTTTGGCGTGGTCTTTTCCGGCGGAAGGGGTGCTCAAAGTGAACACGGATGGGAGTTTCGATCCGTCCACGGGGATGGCTAGTGACGGGGGGTTATTCGAGATCATCTCGGGACATGGGTAAGTGGATTCATGATGATATCGGCTTTTGTTCTATTGTGGGTGCCGAGTTATGGGGCTTGTTCCAGAGATTGCAGTTAGCATGGGATATTGGGGCCCGACACATTATGACTGAGGTTGATAGTCAGATCGTTATCGCATTGATCCATGATGGTGCTACGACCGGGCCGCATAGGAATATTTTGCGTGGTATCCAAGACCTCCTTGGTCGTGTATGGACGGTGGAGCTCCATCATGGTTACCGTGAGACGAACTTTGTTGCGGATTTTCTCGCGTCTTTGGCGGCGAAAGGCCCGGGGGGCTTACAGATATTTGATCGTCCTCCGTCTGGGACGGGCTTCTGGTTGCAGCATGATTTCGCTGGGGTTTCTCATCAGCGTCAGACAGTGGTTTAGCGGTGTTTAGGCTTTGACCTCCTTTATTTAAAAAAAAAAAAAATCAAATCCAGAAACATCTAACATGTTTGTTTATAAGAAATTTTCAAAAAATTTCCAACTATTTTTTTTAACTCAACTTTAACTCAACAGTCAACACCACCAATATCAATATTATCAATATAATGAACTAATATCAATCAATCATTCATACACACCACATCAACCTTAATTCACTATTCATCTACTCACATAATTTTAACTAACCATTACATCACATATTCTCTATCTTACTTTTACATCAATTTAATTTTAATCATTTTATTTTAAATATTATTTTAATATACCCACCAACAACTAACCATACGATCTTTTCAAAATTAACCAAACCAAACAAAAAAATCCAAACAAACCCAAAAAATTCCATAAACAAACATGCTCACGCCATCACAACCAAGGGTGTTCATCGGTCGGTTAGGTCGACCGTCCGAACCGAAGTACAATAACCGAATTACTATATGTCAAAAATCGAACCGACCGACCGATGTGCTTAAACCGAAATATTCGGTCAGTTCGGTTGGTTAACCGAATTTTTCCAATATATAATATATATTAATATATATAATTTAATATATTATTATGTTAACCGAACTTTGAAATATAATAATAATACATATATATACATATATATTATTCGGTCATTCCAGATATTTCAGACATTTAAAGTACAAAAACCGAAACCGACCGAAATAACCGAACAATTGGGGGACTAAAAACCGAAAACCGACCAATTTGGATAAAACTGAACCGAAAATTTCGATTCGATCGGTTTTAGTCGAATTATTCACATCCCTAAGCACAACTCATAAATAAATTATCAACTCCCTATCCTTAGACAAGATTTGATCACCAAGAAAAACAATTAAGTAAAACAAAAAAAAAAAAAAAAAAAAAACCTTGATAATGAGAGGAAAAAAAGACATCTTATAATTTATTTCAAGGCAAAATTGCATCAAAATGTACCACCTTTTAACTTTTTGCAATTTAATCATCACATTTCAAAGTTTGCAACTAAATACACTAAGTTTAGACATTTGACAAATCGAAGCATGCTAAACATAAATCAGCACCGGCTTTCTTTCGTGGCAATGTCGGGAATTCACGTGGAAATCGGAAACACACGTGGAAGTCCAAAAATACCAAACAAAAAATTAAAATGTCACAAAATCAGTTTACTTGGCAGATTAGCTAAAATAAAACCAAAATTAAATATCTCCTCAACCCTAAATTCAAAATCAGTCCAACAACTATGAACCCTAAATTGAAAAAATGTCGATCAATTCAAAATGTTCTCTTGTGGCCAAAGTAACTCACCTCCAAAATAATCTACAGAACCATCAAGATTGATAAATCTCCCCCCATGGTTCAAATTGTTCGACAATTTTGCAATTTAGGGTTCTACGTTGTTCGACTGATTTTGAATTTAGGGTCTGAGGAGCTACTTAATTTTGATTTTATTTTAGCATATCTGCCAGGTAGACTGATTTGGTGGCATTTTAATTGTTCGTTTATTATTTTTGGACTTTCACGTGTGTTTTCGATTTCCACGTGATTTTCCGACGATACCACGTAAGAAAGCAGGTGTCAGTTTCCGTTTGACGTGCTTCGATTTGCCAAATGTCTAAAGTTGGTGTACTTAGTTGCAAACTTTGAAAGGTGGTGATTAAATTGCAAAAAGTTAGAAGGTGGTGCATTTTGATGCAATTTTGCCTTATTTCAATCTGTCTCTAGGCTTTTTTCTGTTCCCATACTTTACAAATTAGGAGTTGTGCTTTCATCTCTCTCCATTCCCAAAAGTGACTCCAAAAGGCACTCTCTTCTCTTGGCCCCTCTGACTATACAACATCACTCTTTACCCTTTAGTCAAGTTAAACAATCACAAAAACCCTTTACTTCTGTTTCTATGCACAAACCTCCGATTAATTCCCCCACCGAGTAGACTCGTCACTTGTAGCCCGGCGCACCCCCAACTTTCCCGGGCCCGCACGATTTTTCTTTCAAGCTCGTGCTCAGTAAGGAATCCGAGCCACCCGACTCGCCAAAACCGGGTCTTGTCCAAATCTTGATGTGGCCCTCACGGCAAGACGTGAGTACCGATTCTTGAGTGAATATTAAACCCGAGAGAGGCTCCGTGTGGACTCGGTGGGCCACCAGTGGGGACAGCTTTGGGATGTCCCGCATGCTTGGGGCGGGCTGTAAGGTGCCGATTGGGCCAGCATTGTCCCAGTGGGCCGATTGGCTGCCGGCGCTGAAGGTGGGGGACCCGCCAGGCGGGCGGCGAACTGGGACCACGAGCTCGTCCATTTCTAGGTCCCATAATAGCAATTGTGTGTCCTAACATAGCATTTTGAGTAATAACGATCAAGAAATGTCGTTAAATTTCACATGGCAAAAAATGCACTTTTAATCGGTTTGGTTTAACATCATGGCAGTTTCAGTCTCAAGGTTCCAACTTTACACCTCTTCGTCATGTGATTTAATATTTTGCTGCAATTTCAATCACAATTACAACAAATTTTAAATCAATTGCTAATCGAAAATCTGTGAATTTGAGAATTTGTTGCAATTTCAGACTTTTGATGACTGAAATTGCAACAAAATATTAACTCACTGGACTAAACGGCGAAATGATGGAACTAACCATAACCTATATTTTGTTTATCTAACAAATACTCAGTTTGGAGGTTTCAAACGTCACTTTTTTGTTTGTTTGTTGGTTTTTATGGTAATTAGGCTAACAGTGGTAAATCGTTAAGAGTAAGTTTTGGAACGAACAAACTTCAATTAAAGGACAAATAAAATAATACAGTTTGAGTACCTGACCAACAGAGCCAAAACGGTAAACAACATTTTCAGCAACGCCATCTGAATTAGGGGGCACCCAATACGAATCGAATGCCACTCCACTAACCTGTCGTTAATAAGAAGATGAGTAAGAGAGACATTTTTTAAGTAAAGCAAGAATCTTTGTCGAAGCTACTCGGGTTATGGTTATGAGCATAATGGTAAACAATTGCAGCTAAATTGCATTTTTTGTCCTGCTGGTTTAACGTCAAACATCATAGCAATTTCTGTCCCAAGATTTTAACATTTCGCCTTTTGGTATATTTTGCTGCAAAGGATTGAAATTGCAACAAATTCCCAATTTATATCTTTTAGATTGATTTTTTATTAGCAATTTAAGTCCTGTAATTTAAATTTCTTGCAATTTCAGTCGTGTAATTCATTTTATTATTTTGCTATTCAACCCTTTGAAATTGCACAAAATTTTAAATCACATGACCAAAAGCGAAAAGTTAACATTGGGACTAAAATTGCTATGATATGGTTTTATACCAACATGACCAAAAATGTATTTTTGCCTAAAATTACTCGTGCAAATGCTAAATTTTCTCAAAACTTACCCACGAGTTGTGTCCCTCACCCCACGCGACAATCTTTCGCTCTTCCATACTCCACACTTGAACAAGGTCATCCTCACCACCAGTCAAAATGTATTTTCCATCCATGCTGCTTTTGCATTATTTGTCAGAAATTCAGAATTCAATTCTGTAATTATACTTATCGACTACATATCAATTTTTCGAAATTGGATCTTTTACAGGAAAATGTCAACAGAAAATTAATGGCAAATTGGCAAATCACCTCCACGCACAACATAAAAGAGCGCCGTAATAGCTTTTCCCACCACATATGAGTTGCTCATTTCTGTAATCAAATACTCGGAGGTAACCTGCATTTTATCAGATTTTCCTCAAACCTTTAAATATAAATGGAACTAACAAACAATCAAATTCCAACACAGAAAAGAGAGTAGAATAACAACAATACCATCCCTTCCAACTGTGGCTAAATAAGCACCATCTGCCGAAAATGCGATGCCATTTATCGAACCTTGACACACGTGCCATCGAGAAACCGGGTTCTGCAAAGAACCATATTTGTCATTTTATAAAGAGTACATGAAAAAACATTTTTGAAAAAACGTTCAATTTGATGCTACTCATGAAAGGCCCCGCTATTTTATACCGCCTATTAGATAAACTAAAACACATATGGCCAAGAAAAAAGTCAAATTTGATCAAATAAAAAGGCCATCTAGAAAGTAATGTTTTACAGACAATGAATCAAAAACTAAATTGGAAAGCAAATGGTTTCATTAATATACAAATGAATTCGAACACCATATTTAGCTTTATAGGAAATGAAAATCAGAAAAAATAAATAAATAAATAAATAAATAATCACCAATACCTTACTATAGCGTGCATGTGATACAGAAAATTGAGTTTGGTCCTTGATCACAGGGAATGAGGGATCACCAGAGCCATCTTTATTCTAAAAACAAACGGAATTGCATATAAACCCCGAAACTAAGGATTAATTTAAAAAGATGATAGTATTCATTCTCAAACAAAGTTCATAACTTGCCTTTTCATATACATACATATTACCATCTGCATGTGCAACAACAAAAGACCCATCACCATTGGGAATCCATGCAACATTGGTACATCGACTGTGAGAAAAGAAAAGAAAAGAAAAAAAAAAAA